CCTTATCAGCTATTATCAGCGGTATGTTGACGCCTTGATTCACTTAAATCATTTGAATTGGAGAAACGATAATGCCTTAACAGAAAAGTACTGATAGATAAGAGGATTAGATTAGGATAGATAAGTAGGATAGATAAGAATGATTGTTTCGTTCCTTCCTCCTTCCAATCATTTCTCTTTATTCGTGTGTCAACGTCGATAAACTTTATTAATTTCCAAGAAAGATCGATTTCTCTAACCTCCCAATCAGCTTTCTATTTCTTTCTCTCTCTTTCTCTCTTTCATTATCATTCACTCACCTTTGTATTCGGATACCGGGAAATTTCTCTCTCTCTCTCTCTCTCTCTTCTCTTTATTTCTTTCTCTTCCGCTTAGCGATAAAGAGTGTTGCGAAAAAGACGCGAATAATTCACGAAACGTACACGCACCGACTACGTCACTGACGCATGTATGACATTCTTTCTCTTTCGTACAAAGGCACAACGTGGTACGCGAACATTCTTTTAGTTCCACGCCGTTCGCTCTATGCAGTCTACATTCATCCCTTTCTCTTTATTTCGCTCAATCTTTCACTTGTCTTTTGTTCATCTCTCTCTTTTGCCGGCTGGATTTCATCTTATGAGATTATTGGAATTGGATTATCGTTTTAACTTGTAATTCTTATGTTCATTCTTTATACTTTGGCTCAACAAAAGTTGAAGTGGTTGAAAAGGAAAGTGGTTGGACAAATGTAAGATTTCGAATAGAGATTGAGGGACATCATTTCAAAATTACAGTTGGCTTCCGGAAGGAACGAATCGATCCGGAAGAAATTTCCAGAAAGAAAGTCTTGAGATCTCTCAGCGAGAGATTGTAGATCGTTTTCGAAAAGTATTGAGTTCTGTACAGGATTATAGGGTTCATTGTAGGAAATCTATCAGATTATAAGGTACTTCTCTCGAACTAGTCTTAATTAATTAGCCTGTTTAAGGAAAAAAAATTGCACAAGAACGAAAATATGTAATTCATAGTTTTCTGGGCGCTGAATACGGTCATATCAAATCATTATCAAATTATTTTATCGATCTTGTTGTAATTTTGAGAAATTTGTGTGTAGTTAAAATTATAAAATAAATCTATCTTAATATCTATCTTTTATATTGTAAAGTATAAATATATATATATGACCATGTATTTGAAGAAGTTTTATTATAATAGTCACAAAATTAATTCTACGGCTGCAATCATATTTTTAGATTTAATCCAAATTGCAGACGGAGAATTAAGCATGTTCATTTTTTAAATCACGTTAATAATTACATACGTCAGGTAATTGTGTCAAAATTAAATATATTGTCAAGTTCATAATTATGTTCGTAATTATCAGATTAGTCTCAGCGACTTGAAAGCTTTTTAAGCTCTTTAAGTTTGAATAATACATTCAAAAAACATTTGAATTCTTAATAACTTATCCAACAAGCTGGCGTCAATTGTTATTCTGACGTCAAAATGACGAAAAATAACGTCAGCATATTTGCTGAGTATTATGAGAGATAACTCTGACGCAATCTAATATTAACGTCATTATAGATATCTTTTTAGCTATAGTCGATAATAAATTTGTTTTAAGGATTAAATATTAACAAATATTTAATTTTAATTGCAATGAAACATATTTTTTTATTTTTATTATTTATTATTTATTTATTTTAATCCTTGTCTCGCAGCTTAGGATTAGCTTCCAGTTTACATTCCTTAAAATCCATATAAACAAAACATATACATTATATTATATATTATTATTTTATTATATATTATATCTCTGATCCATTCCATTATATTAAATAAATTTTAATTAAACTTCAAACGAATATAAAACAAACTATCTATTTTGTGAACTCACTAGCCTGTCTTACATTCTAGTTTAGCCCATTATCACAAATTAACATAGTTTATATATACCCGCTAAGCCTAATGGCTTGATACTCTTGCACTCCAGATATTTCTGACTGACTAGCTGTGTATCAAAAATATTTTTATTGTACTGACCGAATTCTCCTCATCGTTAATACATGTAGTTATTATCTTAAACATCCACTTACATAACATTCTCCTTCCTCTCTGTTTCCCTTTTTTCTTCCACCTCTTTCCTTGTTTATCCTCTTTATTGTTTCCCTCTCTGCCTTCTTCCCCTATAAACTCTTCCATTTGCAATTCATTTTTTGTCGCTTCACACTCCTTTAATATGTGGAATATGCTTTCTTCCTCTACCAGGCATATTCTGCAACCCCTGTCTTCGATCTCTCTCCAATACTGGAGCTTCCCTTCGTCTCACTTTCACATTTGTATCTGGCTATCAGACTTCTGTCTTTCCACTTCTTTTTTCCTTCCAAACCTTTTGATAATTTTTCTGTCATTTCTATGCTTTTATATTTTATACAATTGTGTCTAAACTCATTTATCTTCATTCTTCTTTCTTCCTTCTCCTTATTCTCTATTACTTTTTCTCTTTTTTTCACTCAAGTTCTCAGCTTACTTTTATCTCCGCTTTCTTTTCCCCTCTCCTGTTCCTTGCTCATCTCTGTTCTCTCCAACATTTCCCTTCTTTTCTTCTCTCAGTTGCCCTTTTTTTTTTAATGTCCGCTTCTTTTTTAAAACCTTTATGCATTCCTGTATAGCTTTTTCTTTGTACTCATTTTTTCTTCGTATTTGATTGCTCTTCTAATCGCTTTCGTTTTTATTTCTCTTATTTTCGTTTCTTTCACTATATATATATATATATATCCCTCTAAACCTAAAATCCACTTCACGTATTTTTTTTTATTCCGTTCAGTCTCCTATCCTCTAGCCAGCCCCACACCTTTGCTTCGTATAGCGCAATACTTTCCACCAGTGAATCAAATATCTTCATTTTTCTCCTGAAATCATTTTTAAATAATCTCTCTTCAATGCTCCACGTCCTTTTCATTGTTACTATTGTTTTCTTCATCCTTTCTCTAATGCTTTTCTGCCTTTCCATTTTTCTATAGAGTATATTCCGAGTATTTTCTTTCTTTATTCTCTTTTCCCCATTTCTATGTTCTTTTGTTCATTCCGCGTTTTCCTTTCTCGAATATCATTACTTTCGATTTTTCTACAGTTCCTTAAACTCTGATTCTCTATCAGCCAGCAACACATAATTGTCAGCATACATAATTGATCAACATTTTTCCTTTCTTATTACAATGCACACACATGTGCATATGTTAAATAGAGTTGGACTTAAGACGTATAAAGAAATGTGATTAGAGAATAGATAACAAAAGAATTCTGGACGGACAAAGGTCTATGACCTTTTCTCAGATTTTCTTTTCTATCTCCATCCTCTTCAATAACTCATTTAGCTTTCTCTTATCTATGTTGTCAATGTTGCTTTCAAATCAGCAAAGAAGGCGAATATCTTTCCTTCCTTTCTGCTCAGCTCTCTGTTAACTACATAATTTAACATATACATAATGTATACCGCGTTCATTGTTCGTCTCTCCTTTTTAAATCCGAACTGCTCTTCCTTCCAACTTACTTCTTTCTTTTTTTCATTTAATATGCTCGCGTAGATTTAATGAAACATATTAGGTGTTGGAATTAATTCGTAGCGTTTTACAAGTGATGGGAAGTACTTTCATTAATGTATTTTTTAATGCTCATGTGAAATAAATAACATTCTTTCATTAAAAAACGCTACGAATTAATTCCAACACCTAATATATTAAAATATTATATGTTAAATATTATATTGGGTCATCTAAAAAGTATCCGCGGTACTTTGTCACTAGATGTGTGTTGATGGTCATATATCTAGTGACAAAGTACCGCGGATACTTTTTAGATGACCCAATATATTAAAGTAACTCTGTTTTGCAACTTCAATTACAAATTTTTCAACTTTTTGTGAAAAGATAGAACTATTTGGTAAACGGGATCATATTCAGTGCTCAAAAACCTATGTGAACCGATTCTTGGACGTAAAAAAATTATTTATTGAACAATATTATCACGAAGATACAGAGGACATTGCAATAATAATAATAAAATCTTATCGCGATACTATATCTATAATCTTTATTATTTTTCCTGATAACCTGACAAAGGTCATTTAGTTATTGTATCAGGCAGATTAGTTTGTCGAACACAATGGCTTCTAGCGACAACGTAATTAGAAAATCATCCAAGAGGGTAAACATGATATATTAGCTCAATTACGTTTCTCATTTTTCGATAATCTATTGAAGAAATGTCTACACAAATAAGGATAATCTCTGAATTTTACAGAAAATTTACATTCCTAGATTAACCTTTAACTTTAGAAATTATTAAAAGCGCTACCATAAATAAGATTCTTGCTAAGAATTGATTTTTCCATTACTAAAAAATAGAATAATTTCTTTTGCTTAAAGTAAACGCTTTCATTAATAAAAATTTCATTTTAATTGCACCTTTAATATCATCCTTTATCGGTAAGGAATTAATTGCAAAGAATTAATACTTATTTAAATTCCTTAGATTTGGATTAATTATTCAATTATTATGCATCATTAAGTTCTCTTAAATGTATAAAACTTTCTCAATGAAATATAAATATACGTAGATCACTGATATTACGTTAAAAATAACGCAGGTAAATAAATCCATATCTAAAGATTTTACGTAATATTACATAATTCGTCGTAGAAATCAGCGCTATTAATAGAATGTTACAAATATAGTTTCGCTTATATTGCATAACGACTAAAGAATGTAGTGATAATCCTTCCTTGTATTTCCGTGATTATTAAGAACTTCTACACGCAGAAAACAAAGAGCGTAAATACCTATCTTATCGCGTAATAATTATTGTATTTGGTGTGATAGTAACAAGTTAGATGACAAATGAGAATACCTCGCCATAATGTATATACGTTCCAACGCGACGAATGTCTTTCGTATGAAAATTATTGAGTGAAGTGTATATATATATTTATATACATATATATAAATGCTGAAGAACGATAACTTTGCGCAGGTGTAAGTTTATATTATTTATTTCGCTCCTCGTGCTATTTGAAAAGTATTATAAAATCGGTCGAAGAAGCTATTTTATATTATAAGCAAATTGAATTTGTTTTAGTTTAATAACATTGATTGAGATATTAAATTTATTAGGATTTTCAAAATATATTTTAAATAAGTTTGATTTTCTCAGCACATTTTTGTATTATCTCTGCCGCTATATTTCGAATAGAAAAAAATTTAACCCTGAGTATTGTGGAATGCGCTTTTTTGTAGATTATGTAAAAGGTATAAAGAGAGCATGAGATCGAGTGTTCGATAAGAAATGGTTTAGATAGGACAAATATTTATTTTAAATGCGCGCATGTATAATTGTAGATAAAGAGATCCTCCTGTCAGTCTTCTTTTAAACTTCGTGAGTCTTTCTTCAAATTCCATAGTAATCCTTAATAGCACACTTTATTCGAGAGACTTTTTGACGAACGTTCGTATTCTGGTAGCAAGCCGACAAATGACATCATTTAATATGGGGATCCTTCGAACGTTCTTTGGAATGTCCCTTGGGAATTTGTGCTATTGGGGATATTCTTTCTTTTTTTAAAAGAGAAAGGTTAATCGTGCTTATCTCCGTCTACTTATTGTATTTCACAAGTATTATATTTTACAGGTACAACGGATAGACGGATAGGCTTAACTTTTTTCTTATATAACTTTTTTCTTCTTTTTGAAAAAAGATAGAATATTATCGTGGAATTTGAAGGAAGATCACGAAAATTAAATGACAGGCGGTGATTGATGAATAACGGGCGGATCTATTTATCTACAATTTTACACGCTTAAAATAAATATTCCCGCGTACTTTTGTCGAACAGCAGGCAATAGAAAGAATGTACAGAAAAATTTACCATAAGTAACGTTTGTCTCTTCTTTTTGCAGATTCCTACACAAACGGACGTTTTATTTTAAAAAAATGAGGCCATTTGAGTATTTCTGTAGAGCAATTTCCGAGCTGGAAAAGCTTCTATCTGATGATGTAGATTATTTGGATCATTGCTTTGAAATCGCAAGATTGCATTCTTTCGCTACATGGACTGTGTCATTTATGGATCCCAAAAAACTCGCGGCCGCCGGTTTCTTCTACACCAAAAAGAAAGATATAGTAAAATGCTTTGAATGCCAAATTACTTTGTCAAACTGGATAGTCGACGATAATCCCAAGGCCGAGCATCAACGTTGGTCTGGAAAATGTAGATTTGTCCGGAATGTTCCTTGTGGAAATGTACCAATCGGCGCCAATCCTAGCACGATTTCTAAACCCAAACGAGAAGATATTTGCGGACTTTATGGCCTCAAGTACATGGCGCTTTCTGCTCCGGACAATGATCTGCAGGTTAAAAATGTTATGAATTCTAGTCACTCCGTACCTTCTGATCTGAATGAAGATATTGACATTACGGTCTTCTGGGACGCCGATACGAACTCCTACTTCATGGCCAAGCTCAGCGACGTGTTAGGTTCGAAACAGCCCACATACGCTTCTTATGAGCATAGATTACGCTCTTTCGCAATATGTACTTGCGATACGATATGTGAGAAAAAAGAAGAATTGGCTAAAGCTGGTTTCTTTTATCTTAGCGGCCTTTTTGAACCTTCTGATCAAACGATGTGTTTCTACTGTGGAAAATGTCTGAGAGCTTGGGAACGAACGGATGATCCCGTGGAAGAGCATGTTAGGTGGTACCCCGAATGCAAATTTATCAATAAAATATTAGCACAGAAGGAGAAGAGCAAATTGTGCACGATACAGATAGATCACGAAAGTGAAATCCCTATTAAATGCGACTACCGTTTCTTAATTTAATTCAATATTCTTGATAAGCGAACTATCCTTTTTCAAATTTGACTGAAGTCTAACGATAAGGCTGCATTACAATAAAAAAAGAAGCGTGAAACATATTTGCATGCAAAATATTGAGCTCATGTTAGACAATACGTATGAGAATCATGTAGTTATAAAGAATTATATATTTTTTTAATAAAGATACATTTAGACATGTTTATTCATCTGATATGATGATTAAGAACAATTTACTGCAATCTAAGTCAATCGGAAAATTTTGTCTGTTTAGCGTCTGTTTAGCGGCGAGTAGCTAGAACTGTCGATAATTCTAATATCTAAATCAAGCTCAATTTTTTAGTTTTACCATCAATAAAATTCAGTTGAATAAATTTATTTAATAATTGAGTAAACAATGCTTAATGAGATGACTCATTAGCGGACTCATCAGTACTATGCATATATTGTAATATAAAATTCAAAATTGTGTATGAATTTCAGATGCGTAATATTTTCATGTAATAAATGTTTATTTAAGTGTTTATTTCATCGTGAGATGCATGTGATAAATTTTATTAACTACATTTGTATAACATCAGTATTATAGTAAATATAATATTATAGTGAATGATTCTTATATTTATTTAATGCAAATACATATCTCGTCATGTATTATATTACAAATTGATTGCATTGCATGAATTGCATTGCATTGTTATAAAAAAAAAACGATGTGATACGAGTTATAATAAAAATATAAATTTTATAAGAAAAGAACCAATTTTTTTTATATTACCTCAACTTTTCATCCAATACTATTTACTTGCTGCATACGAGTTGACGGATAAATATTGATAGATTAGTTAGTTATTGATTATTAGATTAGGATAGATTAAGTATTATTTTTATTTATGATTGCATAGCTGATTCAATTGTGTGTATTATTTATTTAAAACGCAACCTATTTATTTTCCTTCTCAAGATAGATTAAAATAAATATAAATTAAAGATAAAGATAAGAATTCCAAGAAATACAAATGAAAAAAGCAGATATAAATTTACAATAAAAGTATGAAGATAAGAATTTTAGTCTACAACATCACTTTACTAACAAGCGAACCTCGCGAAGTGTCAAATTCTGATTTTAATGAAACTTTGTGAATTTGTAGCTTACATAAAGAGATGAATTTAGAAAATATCAGTTGGGGTGGAAAAACGGTTTAAAGGGGTGATGAAATCATGTACAGTAGTTTTCAGCTTTTTCCATTATATCTCGAAAATTATTCGAGATATCAAAAAAATATTTGTATACAAAAGTTTTACAATCAAATTATCTCCATTCATTTACATCAATAATATTTTTTAAAAATAAAATCAGAATTTGACACCTCCCTTGTAAGTACTTCAATTAATTCGTGATACACACAAACGTATGTACAAACACGTAAGCTTTTTTTAAATTTCTTTAAGAAAATCATTCAAAGTACATATTTCTTAGAAATATGTAAGGAATGTTAATTACACACACACACACACACACACACACACACACATACATTGTAGATGTATATGTAAGCATCGCACATTAAAAATATAACATCATATGTCTATCGTCCTGTATAAATAAAATTAATGTGTGTGTGTGTGTGTGTAATTACCATTGTACGTTTTACAATAAATACAAGTTTATTGAACTGTTTCAATTGCCAATTATTAAATCGTACAAACATTTATTTGATAAATATATCAGAGAGCTTTCAGTATATTTGAATGAGTTTTCCACATGTAGAGCTAAAAAAAAAATTTTTTTTAGCTCTACATGTGCAAAACCCATTCAAATTGATGAATGACAATTTCGACAATTCCTTTGAGATTTTCTCAGAAAAAAATCCCTTGGAATATACTGAAAGCTCTTTTTACCTGCTCAATATTTACAGGTCAAAATATTTTCAATAAATATTTTCGAAATTATGAGGAATAAAAAAATATTTTATACAAAGTTTTAAATTACTTTATTCTCTTAATAACGATATTTATGTTTTTTTTAAATGTTTAAATATTTTAATTTACTCTCATTTCCAAAGGTTGTTTTGATCCTTAAATTTTAAACTAAGCAAGTTTTTCGTCCTGTATAATGATGTGCAACTTGCGGCTCTGTAGATATTCTATGACTCGCCAGTCTAAGGCTTGGCATGGATTCCTAGTATAAGGGATCTGCTTTCTCATTAAATCTTCTAACCTATACATTAAGCACAATAATACATCTTTTGTTAGCATAAAAATGGTCTCATATGTATGTGCTAACAAAAAATTATATAAAAAATTTTTAATTTTAATTAATAAAAACATTTTTGTGCATACATACACAAAACATTTTTTCTTCAAGTTCAATTAATATAAATATGAAGTACTATCTTTTCGTACACGTAGAGCCCTTGGCTGTCGAAAATATAAGATCAATTTATTTCGTACAAACGTAATAAACATGCGTTTCGTAAGATTTTATCTACTTCCGAAAATAGCTTTCTAAAAATGATTCTTAAAAAAAACTTGCGCATCGCTACTCTATAATATATCGAAAATTCATTAAAATCGATGAGAGACGGTGAGGTTTTCTTATGAGAACTGATGAAAATTTATAAAATAGATACTGCAGAATGCTTATAACTACGCCTTAGTACATATCCGCGTCTTACAATTAGTACGTATCTAAATGGGATAATTAGTGCGAGTGTAAATAGGATAATTTATTCCTAGTGTATGATGTCATCGTTTGTCAATGTGACGTGATGCAATAATACATCACATTAACTTTTGCGTTTTAACTTTTGAATTTTACAAACAGATACAGAAACGCTTAATACGCAGAAGAATGACGTAAAGGATTGCACAATTTCCTGTAATAATTCGAAATAAAATATTCCGTTCCCTATGAGTTGCTTTAACGTCAATGTAATTTACGTGTAATTTACGTGTTCAAATGAAACGTTGCGCGACGTTTCGAGCAACACTTGTAACGTTATATATTAAATGTTTTGCAATGTTTACGGAACATTTCATTTATAACGTGTCATTAGTAACATTTCAAGATGTTAGTATAACGTTATATATGAGACGTTTATAAAATATCCATTACATGACGTGAACTTTTTTTTTGTAATAATTTATATAAATTTAAAACATTTGAGAATCAATCTAAGCTGATGCACTGAGAGAAAGGATTTTGTTAATTTAGCAAACCACCAATAACTTTAACCGGTGATCGATAAATATGTGACAACAAATTTTATGTTACTAGTCTGCTATACCAACCAATTATTGGTTGAAGCAAATTATATAGAATCTAACCTATCTTTTGGATAGACTTTAGGCTCGTTTACACAGAATTCGTAAATCGTGAAGGCTTAAGTCATAGGAAACCGACCAAGCACAAAATGTGGGGAGAATAGACTAGAATTGATCAATTTCTTACGATTTGGGATCCTGCAATCGTCTACGATTTTTATATATATTTGAGCCTCTTATTTGTTAGCGATACTATTGATTATTTGTTACATTGACAAATTAATTTGCATCGTAACAAATCGATCAATTTTTTAACAAATATCACATTTGCTTTCCCTTGATTTGTTCCTATAATAAAACCATTTCTCTCAGTGTGGATATGCTATCATTAAGAAAGTTGGATTATCTATAATCGTATAATTGCAATATTAATATGATACGATAATGGCTATATTAAGCATATAATATGACTGAATTAATATATTTATGGCTAATACTTCTTTTCTCTTTTCTCTCCGTGTACGAATTCATCATAATAGAGTGTTGAGAAATGGGAATAAAAGGCTGAAGTAAAAAGGATACATAGGTCAGATTTCACAACATATGGTCACTTAAAGATTCAAAGGTTACTATGAGAAATTTATGAATGAATTTTATTAATAGATGTTTTGACACATACACAGAACCTTCAGTTCTCATACGCAAGAGGTCTTCTTCAAGAGATCTTTTTAGGAAAGTCCTTTGGCGATCTGTGCTACATGGGAGAGATAACCGCATATATTGTGAAAACGGGCCTTAAATTGCGTTATAATAACAATGATTATAAACGCTTAAAGCATGTAAGCGATCAAATCAAATACTTAATTAATTTATAGGATTTTGTTAGTTATCGCTTCTCTCGTTTTCTTCGTGCGCAACAAGAGAAAAACGTACGTTTACGAAATTCTTAGATATATCATGTTTTGCGTTTATAAACGCGCATATAATGTATCATTTTATTTTTCGTTAATATATATTCAGTGGACGAAGGTAAAATAATCGTGCTTGAAATCAAACGCATTCCTTTTCTACCTCCTGTGAGTTTTACCTCCTCAAATAATTACTCGATCGCTGGACATATATTATATTACATTATATTACATTCATAGCATACGCGAAGTCGTATAAATGAACTCACGACGATGAATGATTTTATGTATAAAAAAAATATTTAAGAATAAAACTACACTTTTTTCATTTGTAGTCTCATTTCGATATTTTTTGAAATAAACATTTTTTGTGTAATTGCTGTAAAGCAATTTCCATAGTGATGGCAATCTTGTATAGTTTTCCCTTCAAATAATATATAAAATCAGAGTCATGTCACCAACAATGAACAATCCCGTTAGGTTTAAAATTAATGGCCTGGTCCTTTAAGTCAACAAAGCGGCTAGCCTTTGCTGAGCGATTGAATGGGCGCATTCAAGTTTCAGTGAATTCAACAATGAATGAGTGTTATTGATGTATTCTTTTAAATCATCCAATCAGAATATTAAATTTGGAAAGAAACATCAGTAGTAACGATCGCTCATTTAATGATGAATCTGCTGAATGCAGTCTGATTCAGCGTCAGAAAAGATCAAAAGTTTAATCAATTCTTGTATAGGCTGAGCCTTTTTTTTATCCGAAATGGAATTCATCAATTCGCCTTTTTATCTTTTCTTTCAATCAAAAGATTTTTACTTTAAAAAATTCCTTTATCATAAGTATAGATCTCAATTTCTGAAAATCCTTATCCTTAACGAGTTTTTACAGATTTTATGCATTTGTGTGTGTGTGTGTGTGTGTGTGTGTGTGTATGTGTGTGTGCAACACATTCTTCCTGCCTCTAGTAATATGCAGTCGTTAATTGTTCATAACGATAGTTGCGTAGCTTTTTTACTATATCTGCACAATTGTCGTTATAAGTACATGACGATTACATAACGAGTTACAAAATTCCAGTGAAAATATGTTGATAAGGAAGCAAAAGAAGAGCAAAGATCATTTGAATGCTGCTTTTTGTGGTGAAATGGAGATAAAAAATCAGCTTTTTTCGCTAC